GCGAGCACCGTTTAGGGTGCTTTTTAGAAATAGTATAAATAGGGGGAGGGGGGATGATGAGCACTGAAAAGTGCATATTTAAATCCCTTAAGCTCAAGTATTCTAGAACCTTTATCTATCTTATTTTCCCGTTTTAAACTAATTTCATGTTATTGCCCTTTTTAGGCACTTATCCCCAAAATAAGTCAATTCAGCCAAATTAGAGCATAAAAGAAGCAATCTCAAGCTGAATGGAAGAAAGGAACAAAGTGAAAGCAAAGTGGTGAAAAACAACATCTTCGATCGATTAGACCAAGCTTCGATCGATCCCACAGTGATCAATCCAGCTATTTCAAGATGGATCGAGACTTTTGTCATTTTCCTCACCAAAATTCCATTTTCGATCGATCCAACATCTCTCTGATCGATCGAACACCCTTAATCTTATCCCCGCCTACAACTTTTGTTTTTTTCCCAAAATATCCCGAAAATATCTCAGATTTGTTAGATTTTCTAAAAGGTGCTGCCAAGGTTCAATCGATCTCACCAGACTTCGATTGATTGACCCCCTCAAGTACAAAAAAATAGAGTTCTAGCTAATTAAAAGGTGTGCTCATGATGCAATCATTTGGAGTCCTAGTACATGAGGTTTAACCATTGGGTGTGACACTTGAGCTACCTATATAAGGATTTTGAGCCATTTTACTTATATAAAATCTTGGAGAATCATATAGACAAGAGAGGTTAGAGGAGTTTAGAGATTGGAGAGATAGACACCATTTTGGGAGTTATTCCACTCATCTAGGGTTTCCATCAAGGAGAACAAGAGCATTCTTACCATGGAGATGGCCTTTAAGGGTTAGATGAATGCATCAATGAGTGGCTAAACATCTTCTTAGGCTAGAGTTAGCCCTAAGCATGCCTCCTAGACTTTGATGCTTTGTATTTTGAGGGGGTTTGTGTTATAGTTCTTGTCTTGACATTTGATTTATACATGAATCTTGTTTCTATAATGATTTGTGTGGTTTAATACTTCCAATTGATCATTTCATTCTATTCATATGTCTATGTATGCTATAATTAGATGTTCATATGTTTATCTCTAGGTTTATAATATTGATGCATGTCTATGTGTGTTGATGCAATGAATCAAGAGATTGTTAAGGCATTGTGCTTTAATGGAATACTCTTGTGGCTTGTTTGATCGTTCATACTCATTTCTTGATGGATTGTGCCTCTTCCTTAGTTTAATCAGTTTAATTTTCATGTCCCTAGCTTAGTTGTAGGGTAGTTGCCTTACTTTCCTAGATGGGAGGACAATTCATGCTTGTTGTTTGATGTTCCATGCTTATGAATGCAAGTAGTATATTTCTTAGTTTGTTGATGTGTCTTAATTATGAGCTTAAAGGAAATGAACAATGGCTTAATTTGATATATTGTGCTATTCATTAGTTTGTTTAGATAATGTATGCTTAAATGATCATCTATGCTTGTTGATTCAATCAATCACACATTAGTATTGCAACATACAATCCCCCTCATTTATTGCACATTGAGTGTCTAGGAAGGTGATGTTTAGCAGTGACCTCTAAGTCCCAAGACCTCTCTCTCTTATTTTCCTATACTTTACTTACTTTAGTTGTTCTATATTGCTTTCATTTAATTTAAAATTGTAGTTTAATTAACTAATCAAACCACCTTTTGATCACTCGACCTACTAATCCGACCTTGTTTCCAAGCAAAGTACACTTCCGATTCCTTGGGACGATCCCTACTCACGATAGCTATATTAGTAGTGAGAGGTAGTAGTGGCACTTTATAAATTCAAACTTGGCCACTCTTTAACATGTTTGAACTTATTGGTTCATGATAACACCAAGTTTTGGCGCCATTGCCGGGGATTGTAGGTAATGCCGTATTTTGGAAACAATTAGGAATTAGTACTCTTTTGATCGTTTCTTTACTTTATTTTTATGTTGGTTACTTATTGTGTTTGTTCTTGATTGTCTAGGTGAATTGAGCTAAGGGAAGTGAAGCAAAAGGAGTCAAAACAAAGGAGAAAGCCAAGTGAAGCTAAGCATAAAAAGCCAAAAAAAACTAAGAAAGTTTGCAAAGCAAAACAAGGCAAAGCAAAAATTGAAATTAATTTGAAATAGCTTAAGGACCCTTTGTGAGACTTTTCTAACTCAATCTCTAGTTAAATTATGAGCCCGTGTGGAGGCATGTTTTTGCTTTCTTAGATAGATCGTGAGTCCGTGTGGGGGCATTTTAATTTTTATTGCTTAGTGTTCAAAGCATAGGAGTATAGGATCAATTGATGAACGCTGAAAAGTACGCATTTAAACCCCTTAAGCTTAGGTATTCTAAAACCTTTATCTATCTTATTTTTCCGTTTTGTATTGATTTCGTGTCATTTCCATTTTCAGGTACTTATCCTCAAAATAAGATAACTCAGCCAAATAAGAGCAAAAATGAAGCAATTCTGGGATAAATCAAAGAAAGAAGCAAAGTAAAGCAAAAGGAAGCAAAGGGTGAAATTTCAGCAACTTCGATCGATCTCAAGAAAAGTTCGATCGATCCAACTTTCATCGATTTCAGCACTTCAAGATAGATCCAGGCCATGATGTCATCTTCAGAGATCCCAAAAGTTTGATCAATCCAACATCATTCTCTGATTGATCGAACTTTCTTGTCCTTATCCACATGCTAAATCTTATCCAGTTGTACCACCCTACCAACCACTTTTGTCCTTTTCCCAAAAATATCTTTAAAATATCTCAAATTTGTTTTTAACCAAAAAGGCGCCGCCATTGAGGATCGATCCAGCTTCAATTCGATAGATCTCAGCCATGTTCGATCGATCTCACCATAAGTTCGATCGATCAAACTTCCCAAATCCCAAGAAAATCCAAATTCCAACTCATTAAAAGTTATCTCATATCCAATCATTAGAGGATTATTGGTGTACTAGCCCAGCTCATTTGGGGTGATATTTGACCTACCTATATAAGGAATATGAGCCACTTTTACACATATAGATATACTCAGAGAGAAGATAATATTTAGTAAGGAAGAAAAAGGAGAAGAGGAGGCTAGAGACACCATTGGAGACTCTTCATCAACCAAGGAGTAGATTTCTTCCATGGAGCTTGCCCTTGAGGGTTAGAGGACATTATCCATGAGTGGCTAGACATCCTCTTGGAGCTAGAGTTAGCCCTAAGCATGCTTTCTACATCTTGATTTATGTATTTTTGAGGGGATTTGTATTGTGATACATGTCTTGACACTTTTATATATATAGATCTTATTTATTCAATGATTTATATAGTTTAATGCTTTCGATTGATCATTTCATTCTATCCATATGTCTATGTATGTTAGAATAGATGTTCATATGTTTGTCTCTATTTCTTTGTGTTATTGATGCATGTATATGTGTATTAATGCTATAGATCTAGAGATTGTCAAGACATAGGGCTTAATGGCATGTTCTTGTGGTTTATTTGATGGTTCATACTCATTTCTTGATGGATTGTACCTCTCCCTTGGTTTAATTAGTTTAATTTCATGTCATTAGCTTAATTGTAGTGTAATTGTAGTCTAGATGTTAAATGGGAGGACAATCCATACTTGTTGTTTGATATTCCATACTTATGAAAGCAAGTAACATTTATCTCTAACCTTGTGATGTGTTTGGATTGTGAGCTTCAAGAAAGGATTAATGGCTTAATTTGATATGTTGTGTTATCCACCATGTTGCTTAGACAATATATACTTAATTTGTCATCTATGCTTATTGAAACAACCACACACACACTCTTTGTTGTAATACATGTTTTTCCCTCATTAATCATTCATTAAGGGTGTAGAAAAGTATGCTTAATGGTGATCTCTAAACCCTAAGATCTCTCTCTCTCTTTTATTCTCCTTATTGCATTATAGTTTACTTTAGTCTAAATTGCATCTTAGTGTAATTCAACCACCAACCACTATTTTGATCACTCGACCTATTAACCCTAATTTTGATTCCTCAACCTAGTATGACCCTCAATCCCTTGGGATGATCCCTACTTGCCCCAGCTATATTTTTAGTGAAAGGTAGTAGTGACAATTTCTAAATGTAAAACTTGGTCACATTTATCATAGTTCTACACCGCTGCTATCTCTTTCGGCGGTGTGCAACAAATCGTGTGGGCTTCGGGAGTGACGAACCCGGGCAAACACCATCAATATATGTGGAGGATGTTTGTTGATTGATTTGTTGCGGAGGCGAAGTGATTGCTACGTGTTTATTTTTGTGTTGTTTGTGCATGCATGGTCGTAGGTCGTTAAATCCTACTCTTGCACCACTTAATTTGAATCTTGAATCCATTGTTCATAATTCTAGGGGAAGGGGTAGCTCTCATCACTTCATTTCATCAATGGAGGAGCAAAATGACAACCATGTGGAGGACCTTGGTCACATCGACCAACAAGGTATCCTCTACCCTAATATGCATCATGATAACATTCACATACCATTAGGCATGCCAAGACCTTTCATTCCACAACAACAAGGCCAAGTTCCATTCGGAATGCCTCGGCCAATTTTTGTTCCACCCCCACCTCTTACTGCTTAAGTAAATCAATGTGATTATTTAGCATCACCGGTTATGAATCCTCCGCTTGCTTTGCATGATCATTATGTGCCAAATGAGTATAATGAACCTACATGCATTCAATTGCCCCCATTTAGAGCACATCACTTTGAAATTAAACCGCAAACTATTCAAATGTTTTCCAACTATCATGGACTTCCAAGTGAAGAACCTTACAAGCATTTGGATGAGTTTCTTGAAGTGTGTTCCACCGTGAAATACACGGACATGCCAAATGAAGTTTTAAGACTTAAACTCTTTCCCTTTACCCTTAAAGATAAGGTAAACTATTGGTTCAACAATCTTAGGCCTTTTTCGATAACTTCTTGGGCGAAAATGCAGTAAGAGTTTTTGAAAAAATGCTATCTGGTTTGTAAGACCAATGCAATGAGAACTTTTATTTGAGAATTTTCTCAAGGGGATGGGGAGATATTTCATGAGGCATGGGAAAGGTTTAATGATTTGGTTAGGAAGTGTCCCTATCATGACATTCCTAAATAGGAATTAGTTCAATGCTTCTTTGAAAGCTTACCAGATAATCACAAGGGTATGGTTGATGCACCTATGGGTGGCTCTTACCTTAATAAGTATGGAAATGATGTTTGGCAATTGTATGAAATCATGAGTGAGAATTCAATGCATTGATCTTTGTTATCTAAAAATAGTAGAAATCTAGGTGGAAGGAAGAATATCGGCTTATATCAAGTTGACAATTCCAATGACATAGCCGCCGAAGTCAACTCTTTATCTCAAAAGTTTGATCAATTTTTTATTAACCAAAATTCGGTGAATCAAGTGTCTTCCTCTCCTAATCATTCACATCGCAATTCCAATAAATCTTGCATGACTTATTATAGTGTCTCACATTCTACTTCCAATTGTCCCCATGGACATGTGCAAAGTGAGAACCATGAACAATTGAATGCCACATTTGTTAATCAAGGGAACAACCCTTATGGCACACATTACAATCCTTAGTGGAGGAACCATCCAAACTTCTCTTGGAAAAGCTAAGAGGAAGGGTCAAACCCTCCCCAAGGTGGTTTTCAAGGCAAGTATGTTCCGCCCCTAATGCAAAGCCAAAGTTCCCAAGGTTATAGATCATCTTTTCAATCACATGGAAATTAATTTTCTAACTCTCATTTTCCTAATCAATCATCTTATTCTCAAGGAAATTCTAGGAGTCCTGCTTTTGAAGAAAAAGTGTTGACCGCCTTGGGTACTTTAGAGGTAAACACTTAATTATTTCATTCCCATTCTCAATCTATTACGAAGCTAGAAACCCATGTTGGGCAAATAGCTAGTACTTTAAATGCTAGAGAAAAAGGGAAGATGCCTTTAAATACCCCACCAAAGCAACAATTTGTTGTGGAGACAAATTCCTTACTGGAAAGTCCCACAATTGAGCATGTCAATGCAGTGACAACCTTGAGAAGTGGAAAAATTGTTGATAATCAAGTTGGTATTCAAAATGAAGAGAGTGAACTGGTGCAACCAAAAGTTGACACCCGTCCTGTTTCACATTTTATTCGTCCTTCATTGCATGTGCATGACCCTTTTGTTGAGAAAGAATTGAGAAATGATTTGAAAAATTCTTATGCTAAAAATGTTTTGAAAAAGGATTTTGAAAAGGTTTATGAGACAAAAGCCCCACTTCCGGATGCGTTAAAAGGATTCAATTCTCTTGAAAAGCCAAAGACCAAAATGAATAAAATAATTGAAGTGTTTAGGCAAGCGAAGATTAATCATCCCCTCTTGGGTGCAATTAAACAAATTCCGACGTATGCCAAATTCTAGAAAGATCTTTGCACCTAAAAGAGGAAGAATAAGAGCCAAGTACGAAAGAAAATTGCCTTGACCGAGTAAGTTGGCTTTATCTTACAACACAACACTCTCCCAAAATTCAAAAACCCCGGTTCACCCACTACTTCTTGCATTATTGGTGACCATGTCATTAATTGGGCTCTTTCTTGATTTAGGAGCAAGTGTTAACCTTCTTCTATATTCAGTGTACGTTAAATTGGGCTTAGAAGACTTAAAACCAACGTCGATGGTGTTGCAACTAGTTGACTTATCTATCAAAAAGCCCCAGGGTATTATTGAGGATGTGTTGATCAAAATTGATAAATTCTTCTTCCTAGTCGATTTTATAGTCATAGATATGGAACCGGTTCCAAATCCCAAGAGTTAAATTCCGGTTATCTTTGGTCGTCTTTTCTTGGCATCCTCTAAGGCCAACATAAATTGTACGACAAGGATAATGAAAATTTCATTTGACCATATGAAAATGAAGTTGAACGTATTCAATCCAACCCCTAATTCAATAGACAAGTATGAAGATGTTTGTTTTGTGGAAAACTGTTTCGACAATGAATTTGAAAAAGTTGAGTCTTTGCTTGAAAATGGAATTTCAAAAGGTCTATCTTCAAACCTAATTTCGAAGAATGTTGATTTTAAACCAAGTGTTGAAAGGGCACGGAAGCCCAAAGGTTGCATTGACACAGGACCATTAACCTTTTTTGAATTAAATCCAATGAGTTCCCTAGGGAATAATTTGTTTGGTGGAACTCAAAATGTCATTCACCCCGGCAAGAAGGGGATGCATAACAAGATTTTCAATCCGGGCTAAAAGAGCTTAATGTCTTGCTAGAGACGTTAAACACTAGTGCCTCATAGGGTTTGCAACCCTATTCCTTCCTCATTTCTATTTTATATTTTATTTCTTGCATCATTTAGATATGTTCTAAGTTCATACACATTGTTGGGGACTTTAATTAAGAATGCTTGCACTGTCATTTTCGAATTAAGCACTTAATGTCGTGACCTATATTTTTCAGCCCAGTGCAATTGTGATTTCCCGAAGGTTAACCCGGTAACGGATTTGAAATGCGGAAGCAAATGATAAACTAAGGTCTCTAAGGATATAAATCATCCCTAAGACATCAATGTGACCTTCCATGAAGTCACGGAACTTAAAAAGAGCGAAAGAGTAAAAGGGAGTCAAAAATGAGCAAATTTTGCTAATTAAAGGTAAAATGGTCAATTTACAACTAAGAAGTGAAATTTGACCTTAATCAAGTCAAATAAGGTCCACACAACCTATACTAATCATTTCACAACATTTTAAGTGGTTCTAACAACTTTGGACAAGAATCCCACAAAACGCCCTTTTCCGATTTAAGCAAAAACTGACACTATCTCACTATAACATGAATAACTCTTACTATGACTTGAATCTAAGAATAGCATAGGCACCATTGGAAAGCTGACTCAAAATCCTTGAGTTTAGGTTCAATAATCACCCAATTTGGTTTAGGAATGAAGGAGTTATGGCCTTTTGAAGTTGGAACATCAGTGCTAAAACTAAATCCGGAAGACTGGGTATGAGGGCTATTTCGGTCGACCGAAATAGAGTTTTGAATGACCAAAACTCACAAAAACTTTTCTGAAGTCTTGTTTTTGAGGGGTAGTTACTTAGTTTGACCAAAATAAGCCATCGGTCGACTGAAATGGCCCTAAAAGGTTTTTTTGACTACTGAAATGTGCATTTTTACAAATCAAAACCGAAACACCTCGAAACCTACTGGAAGCTTTACTAAACGTGGGAGATTTGCAATTAGACCTATAGAATTCATTCTACCCACATGCATAGATCAAAATTGATTCTTTTTAAGGGAAATTAAGCATGTGCACATGTCAACAAGCATAATATGAATTATTTGTACATAGAACAATGGCTCATGGCCTCATACACATCAATTACAAGAATCTCACATGCTAAACCTCTAAAGTTGGTTAAAATATATTCTTAAAGTAAAATATGGTTCCACATGAGTACAATGAGCATGCATAAGCTTCTCTTTACACAAAGTTACAATTCAATACCATTTAATCCATGCTATTAAAGTGACATTGGAACTTTCAACATAGCACAATGAGATGCAATTTCACAAAGTTATCAACTTGGAAATTAACGTGCGAAATCAAACCCAAGTGGATACTTGGATATTGCCCGGATTCAAACCGCACTCTTGGGATCACTTTAGGGCTATTAACCCATGGGTACCTTCCTCTAGTGCACACTATAGTGTAGGAAGCTCTCTATCTCCCGTACTAGAACTAAGTCCTAGCCAAGTCATGTTCTTGATAATATCCCACGTTTCCAAAATCAACAAGTTGAGCAACAAATCATGATATGTGATACAAACACAATAAGACTCCATGAATTACATGACTAAATCATTAGATCAATAAGATAGAAATTAAGTAGACTAACTAGTTAATTTTTCTAGATTTCAAGAGTTGTTCAAATGATTCCAATTTAATATATAACAAGAAGTAAGTTATGGACATGCCATATATAAAGTTCAAATTGGAATACAAAGCATGGTACAAATAAGTAGAATTAAAATCAATTTAAATTACTTAAGTCTCTAGATTTAAAAGCTCATTGAAATCATGCCAAATTAAGATACAATAAAGATCAAGTCAAGGCCATGTCATATATCAAGTCTAAAGTGAGTTATATAAAAGCTATAATTAATCATTAATTTCTCATTTCAAAACAAAACATGCATACAACTTGGATATCGTTACAAAAACAATTAAATCACTTACATAATAAACTAGAACACCCACTACCTCAATAGAGAATTGTATCTCTATAATCCAAGGCAACCAAGCTTAAAAATGGAAAACCAAACAAAGGGTTTTATAGAGAAGAGTGAGAGGCGCTAAAGTATTCCAAGCTCAAAGATCTAAGGTAAGTGGAAGGGTATCAAAAATGAAGTCAAAGCTCTAAATGAAGTTTTGCTCCAACAGTGGCTAAGTTAGGATTCTTGAGAGGAAAGAGATGAATGAAATAAAATGTGGGAACCCTAAGTTAAATGTGGTGGGATTCTCCACTCACTAGGTGCTATTGCACAAACTCTCACCCACACACTTGCAAGACTAAAGGTGAGACCTACACTTGTCATGAATATAAGTAAACTTCCAAGACTTAATATTAAGCCTACACTTGTCAACCATCCATCCAACAAGTGCTCCTATCCCAGACCAACAAATAGGTAAATCTCCACCCTCCATGTGTCAAGAGATTAAGCCTCCAAGTGGTTCCACCACAATGTCAACAAGTGGCTCTATGAGTGTGTGTTCAAAAATTACAAAAAGGTCCTTTTTGAAAATAACTTCCAAATTAAATTACAAAATTATCCCTAAGACGAAAAATAATTACTTTACATAATTACACTAAAACCCCAAAAGTTAAGAAAATTACCAAAAAGTCATGCATCCATACCCTTTACAAGAAAAGTAAACAACTAACATGTTTTTCTACGAAAGTAAAAATGTAGATATTATGGAAATTAAATATCATTGATGTATGCAAGGCCGGAATCAAATCAGAGCACAAAAAGTGCCGTTATGCAAGGAAAAATGATAAATGAGAAAAGACGAAATAGGGAAAAAGACGAAAAAAGAAATTACCAAAAAA